TCAATCGAAATCCCCCTAAAATCCTCGTCAGATATTGCTTTAGGTCGACCGCTATGAGGTTCACCTTCAAGGCTGAAATCTCCAGAACGAAATTTGTTGAGCCATTGCCGCACAGTGCTTTCTCTAGCACTATTGGGCCCCCACACCTGGTTAATTAGATTGAGCTGTTTCGATTGCGGATTGCCCCAATTTATAGTCGAAGAAAAAAATCGTCCGAAGTGCTCTTTTCACATGCTTGAAAAAATCTTGAAAAAGGAGGGGTTTATCAAGCAATGGTGAAACGGCAATTATACCATCAGATAGCGCAAGAAATTCTCTACAGGATGTGCTACTGAGAAGCAAGGCAGAATGAGTTTTTAATCAGCAGTGAATGTACAAAAAAATAGGTGTGCAAAAAAACCCTGAGTGAGAACTTTCTGGACAACCTAATAACACTAAGTAACGAAACCGGCAAACTGTATGGTATTGTTTATTTCACGCCAGTTCTGGGTACAGTTCACCGCCTGTCTTGACTGACGCTGAGCCTATAATCTTGCCACACGAAGGGAACATTATTTGTCCTTGCTTGCCGGACTACATCAAACCTGCAGTACTTGTCTAATCCGCAGAAGTAGATGCTACGGGGGCCCCGCGGATCATCGCTAAGGAGCACTATTGATTGACCCCCACAGTATGTGAGGATTACCAACCAACACGCTTCGTAAATAATCAGGCGGATTCAACACCTAGTAAGAGTTACAAATTCCCTGAGACGGCCAAAAAAACGGCTGCCGTAGCCCACGCGGAAAGGAAGGCGGAAAAATTAGAACACCTTTTTTTAAAATTACACTAATTCGCAGATTATAGTAAGTTTAATGCAGTGTCACAGAAATCACTTACCGGTTCCTGACGTCCCTTGCCGTCCTTTCCTAAGCCTTCACCCTCTTTCCAGCCCATACTCTGAAGTAGCCGGAATCCTTTATTGGCTTCGTTGAGAGGTTTCACCGGATCGAACTTCGACACAACAACAGCTCCTGAGTTCATTCGCTATAGGTCACGCAGAAAACATTTAAAATTGAACTAGAGTTCAAAAAAAATTGATCCAACAAACCTGGTACAGGTTTCGCTGCACATCCTGCATATATGTCATTCGGGTCAATCTTACTTCCGTCTTTATTCACGTCAATTTCCGAACCAACAAGACGACGTCTCTTCGCGGCTCGATCCGGACCATAATATGGAGTGCGTGCATTTTCTGCCTGAAAAACCAGTTCGGAAATCGACATAGCGTGGCAGTATCAAAGAAAGAAGATGTAGAATGAAGAGAGTATTTAGTTCAGAAAATTTAAAAAATCTGAGCTCTAAAGAAAATAAAGAGCGCTCCACAAAACAGCTGAAAAAGAACACTACATAAAAGAAACGGCGCGACTGCAGTTGAGGTGGATTACGCGTCTTTATGCAATGATATCCGCTCTACTGCGCCCCGCTCGCAGAAAGGCCATTTGTGATCTCCCAAGGATGATTCGGCGAAAGAAACGAGTCACTCAGCCCTGCCGCCGCGTGGCCTCCACTACAACAGACGAGAACTGCTAAATAAACTCACGTATTCATTAATCCCATACATAGCTTTAAGCGCTTTCATATTTCGTCGCCGCGCAGTCTCTCCACGAGGAACAGTCACTGATTGTGATACCGCTGTCGTCTCAGCTGACAAAAGTCCTTGCTCACACCCCGGACAAGTATTGTTACCTGAATGAAAGTGGAAGGTGATGGAAAGACATGAGCTAGCACTGACAACAACTAAAATTACAGAAGTGAACAGAACCTACCAAAGTGGACGTGAACCCGTAAGAATTCTTTTCCAAACCTTAAAATATCACCATGTTCAATCTCTCGCCCATCATTTGCCTGAACAATTGCGAAGAATCATCGAAAGGGGAACGAGCAGGTATGCAACCATTCAACAATTACAACCCAAAAAACGAAAAAAATTCCGTAAAAGCATCATCGCCTGAGATTCAGTGTTCTCATTTCGGACAGATTGCTCACTCTTCGCGAGGGCCAATTCGTGAATCAAACTTTCAGAGCTAGGACCCTCGATTGAACGAAGGCAGATTCATAATGAATTAGAAA